TCCAGCAATAAAAAATGTTTTCCAGAAATGATCAAAGTAATTTGATCCCTGCACACGCGTATCTGTGGGTATATATATATGTATTATCAATATCAAAATAACCCACCTTTTTCCATCCCACAGAAAAAGGCCTTTTCTTGCTTAAGATAAGCACCAGAGAGTCACACACCCATGCTGCTAACAACAGCGGCGCCAACCCCGCCGACCTCCATCACTCAATAAAACCATTTTCACAACATAGACATATGGGAAGGTCTCCTTGCTGTGAGAAAGGCCACACCAAGAAAGGAACCTGGACCAAAGAAGAAGACGACCTGCTCATATCTTACATCAAAGCTCACGGGGAGGGCTGTTGGAGATCCCTCCCAAAAGCCGCCGGCCTTCTCCGCTGTGGCAAGAGTTGCCGCCTCAGATGGATTAACTACCTCCGCCCTGACCTCAAGCGAGGTAATTTCACCAGTGAAGAAGATGAGGCCATCATCAGGCTGCACAGCCTCCTCGGTAACAAGTGAGCCTTTCAAGAAACCTTAAGTTTCACTTCCTTTAGAAAATGGTGATAGCTGGGTTTTAACTTCTTATTTCTTTTATTTATTTATTTATTTTTTTTATTTTTTGTGTGAATTAAGGTGGTCGATTATAGCAGCAACCTTACCAGGAAGAACAGATAATGAGATAAAGAACCATTGGAACACCAATATAAAGAGGAGGCTAATGAGCAGTGGTATCGACCCCTCAACTCATCGACCCATAGATGGATCAGCAGCTGCAATACAGAACAACGACACAGAAGGAGAGAAGAACTCAGAATTAAGTCTAGAGCTGAGGATAAGCCCTCCTTCTCCCCACTCGCCTAAGCTGCCGCCTAATGCTGCAGAAAAGATAGAGCAGAATCCCCAGCTTCTACCGTAGCCAGAGTATAGAGAATGCATGAAGAAAGGAGAAAAGTTGAAAATATATCTGCCTGTTTTCTGGTTTGTGTATCTCATATCAGCCTGTTTTCTGTCAAAAAGTTGAATGAAGGTTATGGAATGTTTGCCAATGTATTATCATATATGATCAACGATTTCCTGGGGATAGTTTACTAATGGATACAAGCTGTCAAGCTGGGAAAGAAAGCGAGGGAGGCAAGGATGAAGGGGTTGGTGAGCTCTCTCAGTCATGCATCAAAGAAGAGAGAGATGCCATCAATGTTTTTTTTTTTTTTTTGGAAAATAGGTAATGAAGCCATCAATGTTATATTGTTAGGAGCATGGTGCACTACTACTACTACCAACCTACCTACCTACCTACAGTACAGCCAATTGAAAATTGAAATGCATGTACAAAACACAATAACACGCTGTACCATTATGTCTCTCTCATATAACGGTTAGGTAGTAACATGGGGACAAAAGTCACAAATAGCTTAATAACAATATCTGTTATTTTTTTTTTTTTGACAAGAGTAGTTGTTAAGAAGTTAGTGAGTTAATTGTTAGTGAGTTAATTGTTAGTGAATTAATTGTTAGTGAGTTAATTGTTAGTGAATTAATTGTTAGTAACTGAACTTTAGTCCGAGGGAATATTTCACCTCCTTAAATGAAGTGCACGGTCATCAGGTCACTTTTTGGTGGAGTTCATAGTGGTGGCAGAACTCTAAACTCCGAACATCTTACCTAAGCACTTAATATTTGAAGTTGAACCATTGAACCACAAAACCCGGTTCAACAATATCTGTCATTGTATTAATAGCTGCTTGGCTTTTTTGGGCGTTACATAACCTAAAAAGAAAGGAAATTTTTTGGTTATTATTGGAAAGCAGAAACAGATGCAGGTACGTTTCTATGTGTAACGCAAGGGGTCCTGACAAGATATTAGCTTCAAGAGTATCAATCAAAGTTGTTAATATTGTATCGACATAAATATCAATTTTGTTATTAAAATAATATGTATTAAATATCAAAATTTTTCGTGTATCATTTCAGACTCATCATTATAAGAAAATTTTGTGAAGAAATTCAAGAAAAATAACAAGAAAGGGACTCAATTGAAAAAATTAAAAGCTGAGGATAAAATCTACCAAGACAAACCCACAAATCCAGCCCAAACCCCAATTTTGAACCCACCAACAATTTAATTCAAGTCTCAACCTAATTTCATAAACCAGTTCATCAAAACTCAAATTTAGCAATAAAAGAAAACCCTAGTTTCCTCTAAAGGAAAGAGACGACAGACAAAACAAAAAAGAAAAAAGAAAAAAAAAAGAAAGAAAGAGAAAACAGAAAACAGAAAAAAAGAGGAGATAAGCCTCTTGATTGTTCTCACTTCTGTAGATCCGCGACCACCACCATGACCTCCATTCTTTCACCTCTGACCTTTACCATCCTTTTGCTAGCTGAT